TTGGTAAATAGTTTGGTAACATTTTGACTGTAAGTTACGTGCGTAATCATTAAATACACTTAAATGTATTATACCGGAATTGTTCGGCATGCTGGAATTTTGGCAGTAAAATTTTCTGACGAAATTAATTGATATTTATATAACATTATATTAAATATACGTATAATATTAAAAGAACTGCTATAATTGTACTATCAAAACAATGTAATCGCTCTGGCGTGTTTGGCCGTTTAAAAAATATATGTGTTATATACATAATACAGAAATAAACAATGTTTAGTATATTCGTTTATATTTTAATATTTTAATCACGTGATTGGATTCTAGTTTTTTTTCAATAATTACGCATAATATACGGTTTATTAATTTATGACGTATGAAAAAACTGTAACTAAAAACATTAAAAACTTTTGTATTTGATCGAATTTATACCAGAAACTCGAACTGAAATAAAAAGTTACCAATTTATAAATAACTTTTTTTCCACATCAGCATAGGGGACCTTTGTTATTAAAATATGATTTTTATTGTTAACCTCGATAATTAACAATAATGCAATAATCTATTTTTTATTTTATAACTATAAAAATGTTATTATATTTTACTGTTATAAAGATCACTTCAAAACTTCTATTACATTACAGTGGTAATAATTTTCTGGATTAAAAATTATAGGTGAAATGCAAACATGTAGTTTCAAAAAATGTCCAATGGTTTTTCAAAACACAATGTAAGACTACCAAATTTAGAAGTTTGTAGGAACCTAACAAGTATTATTTTTAAAACTAATAATGACATATTTGCATCATTTTACGACTTTGCAACAGATACAAAGTTTATACTTTTTATATAATATTGTAGAGTTCTGATGTATTATTATAATAATATAACATCTCTATGCTATAGAACTTTGACAAATTTAAACATTTTATTATGTACCGATTCCAATTTTTATTTCGGAAGTATATGATAGTTATTGTATACGTATGGGCTTATACGTTTGCAGTTTTATTCAACATCAAGTATATTTTATTATTTCGACTACCTACTTTCATATAATCTAAACAATATTTGCATATTTTAATTTTATTGTGGACTTAAAAGTATTTTAAAAAGCACAGATATTAACAGCTATATACCTACGAGTTCCACTCAGAATGTTTTTTCGAATGTGACGATAATGTATCATCCATATAGTAATGTTGTTCGATTGCATATCTGTACATTTTCCACTGTAGTGAGACTCCGAAACATCCAGTGCACATCACTCGTAAGAAATATAAAAAATGATTGACTCCCAAATAACCAGCCCACCATAGAAACTACTCTAAATTTCGTATATATTGACGATTTAGCGATTGCTGTGTTGGGGAAAAAGTTCAGCGATGTGGAAGTGTGGAACAGACACTTACAAGTATGCTGGAGAAGTTGGTCAAGTACTATACACAGAACTCACTAAAAACCAACTCAACAAAAAACACTACTAAATGTATTCCACTTCCACAATAAACAGGCAAGAAGGAAACTGAAAGTACGGTAGCGGGGCATCGATATTGAACATACGAAAAAAGTAGTTACCATTTACCAAGGAACCATATTAGACAGGGCCAACCTTTAAAAGTAACTGTAGCAAAATTAATATTTATATCACAACAAGAAATAACACACTAATTGGATAATATGCTGCCAGTATGGAGTAGATCATGCAAAAAAAGGAATGTAGTCTCGAACGAAATGTGCAGCCTAATCAAAATGTGCTTGAAATCCACACCTCTGATACAAGTATTAGCTGGCATCGCACCCCGCTGATACCAGAAGAGGCGTGGCCAGCGATGCCCAGAAAACAGCCCAGGCAAATGATGAAATACACTCATGGATATCAACAGGTTTGCTGACCGAGAAAAAAACTTTTTGAAATCAACCCCAAAATTCAAGTCAAAATTTCTTGATCATGCACGACTTCGATGGTGGATAGCATTAACTCAAACCAAAACTTTAACGACCAATGGAGAAACTTTCACCCTTATACCACAACGAATGAGACACCTGGAAAACACTTAATAGATTTAGAGAGCTAGAGAAGGTGTTGTCCAAGCAAAGAAAAATGTTCATGAATGGGGATATAATCTAGGAACCATATTATAGACTACGACTGCGTAAACGAATAAACGGAAAAACATAATATACTAATATACTCTCTAAACTTAGTTGCGTGCACACCTGAAGACTTAGCAAATATAACAGACAATTTTTAAAATAAAATCATATTACTGTTATAAAACGTTTATTAGATAAATTAAAAATGTAACACGATGCTTTTTTTTATTTTCGAGGTTGTGCGAAGTATTATTAAAGTTATTATTTGAATTTCCTTTATAGGTTCTGTCATATTTTCATGTATCCATGTTCAAGTGATAAATAACAAGTTTACTTAAACTTTCATAATTTTCATAAATCTATACAAATTACAAGTGACATATAAGTATGAAAAGCATTGTAACTTTTTTAAATAAGCATCACGATAAATGAAAAAACAAAAATTGTAATTTTGAATATTATAACACTATTTTAAGTAAATATTATTATAATAAACCTTTTAACAAATACATATTATATGCAATCAGTATATATCATCATTTATATATTTAATCAATGCTTAAACTATATTAAGTGTTTTAAATTATAAATTTACTAACCTGCATTAAATAAATATAATTTAATTTAATTTTTAAAATTATATAATTAGATTTATGTAAGCAATTGAATAGTTATAACTTATACAAGTTATAAGTTATTATTTCTTTAATTTATAAATCATCATTTTATATTGAATGCATTTTGTATTTATTTTTCAGAAAACATTAAATAATATTATGTATTTTATAAATATCCTCAATAATATTAATTATGTTGTTCATATCATTATAATATTATAATTATTATACTATACGAGTTTCAAAAAAAAAAAAACATTTACCGTCATTGTATAGCAAACGCATGGGTTGTAAAATTAGAAACAAAACCTAACGCCATCGTAAAAAAGTAAAAAAAAATAAACTATTTTAAAAAGATTGATGTGACGCCGTTTTTTACGCCCCGTTCAAATTGAAAGCTCTTCAGCAGCAATCTCCTCGATCGAATTTAAGGTCGGATCAAATTCAAATGTTACCTATTGCCTCGATATTATGGGCGGCATTTCGCGTCAGCATTTCGATAATGTTAAATTAATAGCAGTGCACGGCATAATCGCACGCTTGTCTATGCATGATAATTTCTAATAATACATCATGTATTTTCATATTATCGTTTTAATCACAATAATATTAATATTATGACTATAATTTGGTAGTGCACGCATAATACAATAATGATAATACGTTGGTGACGCGTATTTGTACGTGTATTGTATTATATATTCATATTATATTATATATTGTTGGGTGATTCTTTAAGCATGCTCACTCTATTTTTATGCACATATTAAAATTCAGATTTTTGGTATTTTTAAGTACGCTTGAAGACCATTTTTCGAATTGTTGAATTTTTTTGCACTACTTAAGGCTGATCATATGACAATACAAACTTCAGTTTTCAAATAGGAACCATCTTTTTTCATTTTTAACTATTAAGCATATAATTTTTTTGAGAATTTAGTTTATCCAAATCAAAATTCAATCTAGTAGTTTTTGAGTTATGTAATTTTGTGTTTTAAGGATAATATGTCAATAGTTATGTGTTAAGTAGATAGAGATCTTGGACGATTTGAAAAAGTTAGCAATTACCTACTTTTGAATTATCAATATAAATAATTTGTAAAAATCCGAGTATAATAAATACTACATCCAACATTAAATATAATTTTTATTTTTATAAAACCATTTTCAAGGATTATTATCCTGTATATAAACATTTTAATATTCCAGAAACTACTCATTAGCATTTTGATTTAGAAACAGCAACGTTTTCAAAAAAATCATCATCTAAATAATTTTCGGCAACAATTGAGGTTCACATTTGAAAAACAGAAATTTTTATCGCCTCAGTAAACTCCTGCAAAAAATTTCAGAAATTTGAAAATATATGGTCTTAATACGTCTACTTAAAAATTCTAAATATCAGAATTTGAATAAATGTACTGTTGATCTGAAAAAATGGGAGTGAGCATGCTTAAAAAATCACTCTTTATATATGTGTGTGTGTAAACATAATATTATATATATATATCCTGAGGTACACAATATGCACCTACGCATTCCGATTTGATAGCGATCAAGCCGAAATATCCACCGAGCTTAATATAATCGTATTGTGGTTTTATCTCCCTCGTTTTGGAAGGTCGTACATACACAACAATGGGGATTAATCGTGGTTAGCGCACACATTTTCAAAACTTTTAAACGGCCTAACCTATAACACCTCTCTATCCCCCCTCTCTCCCTCTCACATATTATATAAAAAAAAAAAATGTTAATACGCGATAGAGGCGGGGAGTGAGCGTGACAGAGTGAGATAGGGGGTGAGCGGGAGAATCTGTGTGTATGTCTGTGGGCGAGAGAGAATTTGAGAGATAGTGAGATAGTATGAGGGTTATGGTGACGGGGTGAATCAGAGTGTGGTGGCGGCTATGTGGAGGCTGGCAATTATTATTATTATTATTTTTTTTTTGGGGGGGAAGGTTTCCTGGGGCCCGGAGAGCGTCGTCGTGCATCTACTAGCTTGTCCGGCGGCGTCACGTCGTACTCGAGAGGAGCAGTCAGTGTGTAGTGTAGCGCGCTCGCGACAGTACCGACCGGTCGACGACTACAAATTCGCATTTGACAAAATTCGTTGGTTTTTCGTTTTGCTTCGGTTTTTATTTTTCAGTTTTTTGTTTCTTCCCTCGCAACTGATTGTACCCGTGAATTGTTTTCCTTATTATTTTGTGGTTTACCATATTTATTTTTTGTGATTACGTTTTGTGTGCCATATAAAACAATACATAGGAATTCGGAAAAAAAGATTTTTAAAAATACAGCTTAATCATTATTAATGTAATTGTTATTATTATTATTATTTTTTTAAAAATTACTGCGATTTGGAAAAAGTTTTAAAATCAACAGTGATATATATGATTGCCCTTGGATTTTAACTCAAATATACTAAATGTGAGTATGCCTGTGAAAAATATATAATATGTAACACACAGTTAGTTTAACCACTTCAATCTGAATTACATTTTTAAATGATATTTTCCAGTTTATTACTGTTAATTAAATCGGAATTCTTACATAAAACTTAACGTTTTTCTATGTTATTAGTATTTGATTTTCAAATACTATACATTTTAATTACACAACATAACATATAATATTATTGTACGTAACTTACGTTTATTACCTGTACCAAATATATGTATTTAAAATATATTATACATTTATAAGTGTAGCATAACAAAAGTGTATTAAAAAAAGCGAATAAACAATGTCATATACCTGCAAAATAAATTTAAATAATTTTACAATAATTCTAACGTAAGTACCAATACTTACGATGATTCAGTAATTCCCGGTACCTGTATCAATTTAAAAAATGTAAATTATAAAATAAAATACAAATAAGTATTTCCTTATTGTTAAACTGTAGTGGGTCAAGATGGACAGTATTTATAAATTTAACTTCCCAATAATTCACTAACTTAAATTAAACAACACACAAAGGTTTTTCTGCAAAAGTCACCATTTTTAATTTAAAATTTATTTGAAACATATTTATAAGAATTACATTTTTTTTTTTTTGTAAAACAGTTAAACTGAATTAATTTAAATTGAATTTTTTGAGCTGCTTAAAAATTATTTGTGTATCAACATTAATTGTTAAATTAATAGCAACAATTGTAAATATAGTAATACTGCAAACATTTGTTATTATTTAAATGAAAAAAAAATACTTTGTTAAATTAAATATATCAATATATTTTTAAATACAAAACATAGTTTTAAAATATATGCCAATTCCATTTATTTTTATATAGTTTTTAAAAATGATATAAAGTTATGAAATTAAAATTGAATTATTATTTTATGAATGGGAGTTTTATTTTTGTAACATAACACAATGTTTCTCTTTAGAGAGAAATATTATACTATTAATTCAGTTGTGTCTTATTGCTAGGAAATTCAACTTACTGTTATGTCACAATTTTAGTTGGCCATTTTTGTAATACAATGGTTATTAATTTAAAGTTTTAGTAAAGTCATAATAGAGTGAATAAAATAAAATATGTTTGAAAAATGTACAACAAGTAATATAATACCTGTTGTTTATTTTTGATTCGTATAGTTTACTGCCACTTTGGTAATGTCAGATGCGTGTTGCTAATCGAAATAAGTGTAAATTAAAATAATAATGTTTGTTCCTACAACTGGCAGTTTTGTTTATTTTTATTTCACATAATCATAGGAAATCATTCATATTCCGTTGTGGTTTATTTTTATATAGCTAATAGATAATATCATTATAAGATAGACCTATAAACAGAAAAAAAAAGTTATTTGCATGTAAGGACTAGGATGAATATTATTTTAATAATAATAAAAAATAGTTATTAATTTTGCATAAAGTATATAATAAATAATATGAATAATGTGTAAGTGATTTATTTGAAATTATTTTAAATATATTGTTATTCCTACATATTTTTATTAATGACAGATGCAGATATAGATAATACATACGTTCTATTCTAAATTATTTAGGTGTATATAACATAGATAATGTGTATTGAAATAATTAATCTAATGATTTCTATTTTTATTTAGATTATACATTTAATATTTTAAAACAAAAAAATAATATGGAAATTTCTATTGTATAATTTTTACTCAAATTTAAAAAAAAACATGATCATTTAAAATAGGCACCTACACCATACCTACGTAGGTATGTACGACTGTTATTTTGAAATAATCCTAAAGTTCGTGTAGGTGTACGTTCATCTATCAGTATAACGATGATAAATGAGCTGAACGATTACTTTACCCCTATAATGTTCAGTTTTCAAACCGCAGTTAACCGTGTTAAATAATACTACTAATGAAGTTAGAAAATTATTACAACGCATCTGTTTTTAAAATAGCTATCCGAAAATGAACGTTATTCTAACATATACATCAACATAATCATATTTTCAGTTAAACCTTACCTACTAACAAATCACAATAACACGCATTATTCAGAACGTCGTCAATATTTTATAAAGGAACTAATAATTGTATTCTTGATGAAATCTCGTGATAACTCGAGAAATAAGTATTTAGTATTTACATTTTACTAAAGAAGAATAATAAATAACTTTATAGTTTAGATATTTGTGTACTGTGTACAATATACTCCACAGCGTAGGTATGTAAAAAAACTCGAAATTACTTTCAAATGCTGGTGTAAACATTAGTACATTTAATATTATTAAATGACATAAATACATAATATGTTCACACAATACGTACGAATTGCAATTATAATGGAGTGTTCTCCTTTTTTGAATTTATATGAATAACTACTAATGCAACCAACTTCATCAAGAAATTACAATTTTTGTTAAAGTGATTTTTGTTATTTTTCGGGATTATTGTAATTCGAAACAGATGTGTCAGATAGAATTATTATTTACGTTGTATTTTATTACGAAACAGTATACAGTGTGTTTTAAATTTCCTTTAGTGTGTAAAATAAAAAGTAATAGTCCTTGTGATGTGAACGCATGAAATGTGATATTATTATAAGCGTCATAACCTTTATCATTTCAAAGTTTTGAATTTATTTAGATATATAACTATATAAGCTTATAAAGTTTTTCTAATGTATGCTTATTCTAAGATGTCATAATATTATAATATGTATATAAACTTCTTAAAAACATAACATTTCATATTACAGGTAGGTGTGTTTTATAAATATGAATTTCTTATTTAAAGTAGTCAGAATATCTTAAAGAAGAAAAATAAATTATGCAATATCAACAGTAATAATACCTACCATAGAAACACAAATAATAATATTTCCATAAAAGATTTTTTCTGTTATCAGAAAAAGACATCTGTCGAATCGATAAATTATATATTATTTTTAAGGAAAACAAATTGTCTTACAATCTACATTTTTGTTATAATTTCGAGCAACTAATTAACAAATTCCTTTTAAACGCATACTCGTGTAGTTATTAACATTAATAATATTTTAAAAGTGTACTAAATCACACATAAAGGTACAGATGTTTATAATAATATTAAAAAAATGTAGTTAACATACAATAATACGATATTTTAAATTTGAGTCAATTTTTTTGCTGATTTCTATGTGTTTTATAATTGTAAGTATTATACAGTTAAGTTGTTAGTATACGTGTATACAAATAGTTAGGTGTTTCAATTGATATTGGGAAAATAAATGTTAAGCGAATCGAATCCGTTTTCCGGAAAGCATTACGCATTTTTTTTTTTTTAGTTAAACTAACTATGTACCTAATTATGTGACATTCAAAATAATTTTTCAGTTGGTTAACGGCTAGGTACCTACGTAGGTTATATACCAATATACTAAATAATAAGATGAATTAACTTGCTCAATGTGGCCCATTATTTCTTTAAATAAACAAAATATGTTTTAAAAAATAAATTTCCTCCATTGATGACATCAATTTCATAATATGTTTTAAGAGCATGCCATTTTCTGCAAACAAAATTTAACAGGATTTTTACACAAAATATTTTCTTTTAAGTTTTTTTAAAATTCAATTTTTTCAACATTTTTTTCATCTTCAATAATGTTGTGATATTTGTTTGGTTTTAAATTTTAAATAAAATTATTAACTTGAAGCTGTAATGTACCTACTACGTATAAAAAAAATGCTCCACTTATAAAGCTGTTTTTAGCGGTTTAGATTTTTCCACCAAAACTTACACCAGGCGTGCTTAACCTAACCTAACCTAACCTTGTACACATCGCAGAGCGAAACGATAATTTTTTATGATTCTTAATGCAATAAATGGCGGCATTCATATTCGTACACCTGCAAGAGTTAACCCAACCACTTTCCTTACATAATCCCTTTTCGCCTGGCGGGATTCGTGGAAGCTTCCAAGGATGACATGTGAAACAAATATTTTTTGTCCATTACAAAAGTCAATGTGATCTTAATAATAATCGACGCTTATTTAGTTATTTGCTCTTCATTATTATTATGACTATAATCCGGCGAATTTATTATTGTTAATTTATACCATCCAGTCCTCTTATGCGCGTACAAACACGTGTACGATATATATAGTGCTTGTATATAAAAATGTGTGTGTGTGTGTGTGTGTGTGGACTGTGAGTATACACATACATACACTTGCATCCGGTGTAAGCATATTGGTAAACACACTGTTACATTGTACAGACCACAAACTTAATCGCCTACGGTAATTCGTCAATACATATAACGTTACGGGTAATCAAAAATCAATACTTTTGCTCTTCACCGCACACACACACACACACACACACACACACACACACACACACACACACAC